TTTTATGGGTATTTGGAGGGGCCTGAAGAAGGGAGGGGTTTACTGTAGAACCCTATGGGATTTTATTTTTTTAAATTTTCAAATGACTATTTCTCGAAAACAGTAAGTGATAGACACATGCAGTCTTCAGTAATGAGAACAAGACAATAAAAAAAAATCAACCAAAATATAGGGTGGGTCCCTTGGGGTCATCTCAACCCCCTTCAATTTGAAAATGTACTTTTATCTTGTAAACCGTCGCGATCCCCACCCCTTATCAATATATATACTTGTATGGGACAATAAAAGAAATCAAATGAAAATGATTTGGGGGAGTCCCCGGTGTCGTCCCACCCCTCCTGTTTGAGAAGTTGGAAATGGTCGAGATCCCCACCCCTAAACCATATATATTCATGTATGGGGCAATATAACAAATCAAATGAAATATATGGGGAGTCCCTGGGGTCACCCAATTCCCTCCTGTTTGAGAACTTGGAAATTGTTGAGATCCCCACCCCTAAACCATATATATTCATGTATGGGACAATAAAACAAATCAAATGAAATATAGGGGGAGTCAATGGGGACACCCACCCCTTATTGTTGAGAACTTGTAAACAGTCAAGATCCCCACCCCTAAACCATATATATTCATGTATGGGACAATATAACAAATCAAATGAAATATTTGGGGAGTCCCTGGGGTCACCCCACCCCCTCCTGTTTGAGAACTTGGAAATGGTTGAGATCACCACCCCTAAACCATATGTATTCATGTATGGGACAATATAACAAATAAAATGAAATATAGGGGAGTCCCTGGGGTCACCCCACCCTCTCCTGTTTGAGAACTTGTAAACGGTCGAGATACCCACACCTAAACCATATTTATTCCTGTTTATCATTTCAAAAAGATTTGAATGACATACAGGGTCAATCTTCTAGGTGTTACATATGCATATCACTTTACTAGACCAAGCCAATATGAACTGGACTTTGCCCAATGTCAGGAGACCATGGGAATGACGAATTATGGGGGCTTTGTTTGGGAGACTTCGTAACAGCATCCTGTTACAATTATTTCTTGTTTATTATAAAATTTTATTGATGCAAAAAATGAGTCTAGGTTAATTGAATTTACTTTAATTATTTATTAAATTAATTCTGGGCCTATAATAATTTTCATTTATGGCTCATTTTAAAGAAAACATAAATCTTTCCAGCAGTGTAAAGCCCGAGAATGTTTCACCAACTGTTTTATAATCACCTGTCATTTTATTCCAAACTTGGTATGGAGTAACATCATGCACTTGGGGATGAAGATGGGGGTCATTTACATTGATATATGAGTTGCTTTTGAAAACCTTGATGAAATATTAATTTGTTTGCCTTAATAATAAAAAGTTTGCTGGTATTTTTTTTTTCCAATTTTTTTGGGGGGTTCATATTTTTTTTCTTCAAAATTTTTGAAATTTCAAATGATTGCACAGTATTGCGCAATAGCAAGAAATCCTCAATTGCACAATATTGAGCAATACCACAGTATTGGGCAATAGCAAGAAATCTTCAATTGCACAGTATTGCGCAATAGCAAGAAATCTTCAATTGCACAGTATTGCGCAATAGCAAGAAATCTTCAATTGCACAGTATTACACAATAGCACAGTATTGCGCAATAGTAAGAAATCTTCAATTGCACAGTAATGCGCAATAGCACAGTATTGCACAATAGCACAGTATTGCGCAATAGTAAGAAATCTTCAATTGCACAGTAATGCGCAATAGCACAGTATTGCACAATAGCACAGTAATAATAATAATAATATCGTTATTTAGAGAGAGTAACTCATTTGGATTACACCAATTTTCAATAAGGCTCTCTTAATACAATAATAATTACATTAAAAATAAACAATACATATTCAATAATAATGATAAATAAAGATGTAATACAATTCAAATACAATAAACAATTATTATATATGGCATTACAGTACAAATATCATGGTAATGTTAAAAGTACATAGATTTGTAGTTATGTTTAAATTCTAATACTGTGTTTGATTTTTTAATTGAATCAGGAACAGCATTCCATACTTTTGGTCCATTGTACGAGAAACTAGACTTATACAACTCTGTATTTGGTTTTGGAATTATAAAATTTTCTGAGGACGAAAATCTCGTATTGTATTTTTGGTTTGCAGAAGCTGATAAAATAAGACGGGACATATATTCTGGAGCTAAGCCATGTTTTGCTTTATACATTAGTAATGATTTATGATAATGTATTCTTTGTGTAATCGGCACAATGTTACATTCGTGAAATAATTCGCTTGAAGGTTTGGTCTAATCATGTTCGTCTAAAATTATTCTTGCTGCTCTTCTGAAAATTATTCTTGCTGCTCTTCTGCAGTTTAAGTAAACTATCTAATAGAAAGTTATTACAGTTTCCCCATATTGAACAACAATACTTTAAGTGAGGTAAAACGTAAGCGTTATAGAACATTTGTCTAGCTTTGTGATTTAAATATTTCTTTGTCCTTTTTAGTAAAGCTAAAGAAGAGTTAACCCTTTTTATGATATAATCAATATGAGAAGACTAAGATAGAGATGCATCAACAAAAATACCTAGAACTTTTTCACATGTACTTTCTTTAATTTGTTGTCCATTCATAGCAATATTAATGTTTTCATTTGATGTAACTGAAAGCTTCTGTTTAGAGCCAATACATATAGCTTTCGTTTTAGATACATTTACAGCTATTTTATTGTCATCACACCAGCGAAAAATATCTTGTAAAACCGTATTAAGTTTATGACTGATACAACTTTTGTTTTGTCCAATTACTGATATGGTGCTATCATCAGCAAATAAATCGGTGTTATGATTAGGATTAGATAAAGGAAGATCATTTATAAAAATTAAAAACAACACAGGTCCTAAAACGGATCCTTGAGGTACACCCGTTTTTTGTTTTTGTAAGTCTGAAAATGTATTTGAAATAGATACCATCTGATATCTGTCAGCCAAATATGATGTAAACCATTGTAGCCAAGTATAAGCAAATTTGTATTTGTTTAATTTTTGAATAAGCAGTTCATGATTGAGAAGATCAAAGGCTTTTGCTAGGTCTAGAAACACTGCCCCAACAAGATCGCCATCATCAACGGCTTTAAGCCATTTATCCAATAAAGCTGTTAACGCAGTTTGACAAGAATGGTTTGCGCGAAAGCCTGACTGCATTCTATACAATAAGTTGTATTTATTAAGATACTTTACTAAGGATTTTAGAAATGAGTGGTAAAATTACAATTGGTCTGTAATTAAAAACATCCTGTTTTGAACCTTTGTTCTTATAAACTGGTATGACTTTTGCCAGTTTAAATGAAGATGGAAAAATACATTTTTTAATACTTAAGTTAAAAATGTGACAAAGTGGTAGTGAAATAGCCTGAGAAGACATCTTTAAAAACTTTGCACTTATGTTATTAAGACCTGTTGCTTTTGATTCATCTAGTGCTTTTAGTTGTAAACACACAAAATTAGTACTCATAAAGTGGTATAGAAAAATACACGTTATCTGGTAAATGACCCGATATGAAATTATCAAGTTTGTTAAAAGAACTATTGTTGCTGTTTTGATTTATATTAAGATTATCTGTGATATTTGTGAAATAAGCATTAAATACATCAGCAACGCTTTTCGGTTCTAAAATTTCCTTTTTGTTACAATCACTTATGATTTTAATACTGGGATGATTGTCGGTTCCGCTGACAGTATGTAGGTGCTTCCATAATTTACTACTGTTGCCCTTTTTATGTTCTATGATATTGGTATAATAATTTTGTTTAGAATTTTCGATGAGATATTTGACTTTGTTTCGACTCATTTTGATACAAACGTTTTACTTTTTTTAATGAGTGGAGCATGATGATTTAATACTTCAGTAAAAATATTTAAAAATGACAACAATGCTTATTCGGGGTCATCAATTTCTAATACACTATCAAATGTACACTGTGATATGTGATTGATAAAATAATTTTTATTAAAATGTTTAGTAGATTTAAACAGTATTGCGCAATAGCAAGAAATCTTCAATTATACAGTATTGCGCAATAGCAAGAAATCTTCAATTACACAGTATTGCGCAGTAGCACAGTATTGCGAAATAGCAAGAAATCTTCAATTGCACAGTATTGCACAATAGCACAGTATTGCACAATTGCAAGAAATTTTAAATTGCACATTATTGCGCAATAGTAAGAAATCTTCAATTGAAAATGAATACAAATCTTTTAACCAATTTCAATGGGATTAATTTAAAGTCTTTAATTTTTGGGGGTTCTAACCTTGTATTACTTTTTTGGATATTGGGCCCCATTTTTAAATTGGTCAAAAGGGTCAAAGTTAAACTTTGTTTGCTTCCTCAAAAACTGAATTATTGCGGCTGTATGATATGCTGAATCTTATTGTGCATTTAGATTTTTCATTTTGGGCCCTGTTTTCAAATTGGTCCATATTAAGGTTTGAAGGGTCTAAAATTAAACTTTGTTTTATTTCAACTAAAATTAAATTTTTGGTGTTTTTTATATGCTGAATCCAACCATGTTGTTAGATTTTGGATATCAGACCATTCTAGGTACATTACATTACATGTCCTATTTCAAATTTTTAAGATCTTTGACCACATTTATTTTGTGTCAGAAACCTATATTATGTCAAAAATTTGATCTCAATCTAAATTCAGACAGTATCAAGCTTGAATATTGTGTCCAAACTTTCCCCAATTGTTCAGGGTTAGACCTTTGTGGTCGTATCTGGCTGCGCCCAGCGAAGCATTTTAGTCTTGTTTATGTACAAAAATACGTGTTGTTGTCAAATAAACAACGGTTCTGATAATCATATATATGAACATGCATGGCATGTTATTTTATTCATGTTTCTCATGACACCAAGAAACATCTGCCAATTTTGCAACTGCTGTTAATATGAAAGTTTTATATAATATTTTGACAGTGACAAAGAAAGTAAGCCGACTACAGCATTCATTCCAAATAGCAAAGAGACAGATAATACAGGTATTTATATTGATCATAATTTCTATATCAACATATCCAATTGAGTAGCATATCCAATTAAGGCACAGAAAAGTTTAAATTCGATTTGATTTTTGATTTTTAGTGTTTTAACGCCACTTTTAAGCACCGCTTTTGGGCTATTTCTTGGCGGCCAGTTTTTATTGGTGGAGGAAGCCGGAGTGCCCGGAGAAAACCACCAATCTTCGGTTTAAATTCGAAAGCAAAACTACCTACATTAAGGATGGCGTATTTTAAAGTTAAAATATAAATTATCGGAAGTCAGATCATCTCTGAAAAAGAGTAAAACTAATAGTACCAGTTCATATTCTAAACAAACTCCTGGAAGACAATATATCACGTTATACTTAATATAATCAAAGGAATAAATGATTTCAAATGAGTAATACTTAACAAGGTATTATGGTCTAAGGCTTTAAGTGAATTATAATATTATCCACATTTCTTTTTTTACAGCATACAACTCGTCAAATGAATATAAAACTGTCTTTACGGTATTAGTTGCCGCTGCAATTTTGTCCGTACTAGGTAAATATATCATATTAGCATTTATGTTTATTCCGATATAATATTTGTCGACAAGAGAACTACTCGGTGTCACTTGCCGCCTGAAGATACATGTCCATGCAATGCATTCAAATTTATACGAAATATAAATACACTACAGATCTATATATCCGTACACTGTATGTGCATAAAACATCGGAATCACAACCCTAACAAATTTCTATGTTTTATATGTTTATCTCCTAAGATAACAGTAGTTTTAGATCGTTCCAACAAAATGATCAAAATTGTAATTCGTCAGTAGCATATCGCACAAATTGACAAAATTGCTGTCATTTACTTTTTTTCTAGCTTGTTATTTGCACATATATAGTCAATGTCTAGTTCGTCGGATTCTCGTGTGCTGTAAAATGTCTGCAGGGGATAAAACATTTTCTTAAAACCCATGTTCAGCACAGAACCACCCGTGTTCAGATCAGAATTCAGATGGCAAAATGATCATCGGTTGCATGTTTCAAAATACTAGTAATAGTATTTAGAGGTGAAATTCGACACTAAAATCAATCTAGACTTTCTAACATGATGTTTTAGTCATGCATGCTTCGAATACTTCTTGCGACAGTAGTCACTAATCAAACTTTCTTGCCGAGCGTCCCTATTGGATGTCATTCAGACACGTTGTTTGTTCACTGTGCCCATATGACGACCCCAAAACAGCGACTGTTTTAAAAAAAAAATATATATTTATTTCTGCTAGTATCGTTCTTTATAATGTAGGAGGTAAAGAAGTAATATCCTGTGATTAGTAACATTCAGTGATGTCAAGCACAATGAGATATCGGAATTGTGTCTACGACAAGTGGAAAATATCAGACACAGGTGACACAGAAATTCCAGTAAGGCCAACCACTCATGCCTGCGTCCGTATAATTTATCAAACTTGTACCATTAAGAACCTTGTTCTCAAAAAAGTTATATCGGAGTCCCTCCATTTAGTATTGACGTATTCGTTCCAGAGTTGTATTGTGTTTTTTTTTTGTGTTTATAACAGAGAAGATCTATATGTATGTTAAATTTGATTAATGCATATATGCATGTAAGTAAAGGTCTCTTTTGGATGCTTGACAATTTGTTTTATAAATCTTTAATTTGACAGGGAGAAAGACGATGTCTGTTTTTTTAAGTCTTAACAAATTATCAAAAAGAGCGAAAGAAAATTTCAGGAACCTGTTGACAGGAAAAGATTTTCACGGTAGCAAGACAGCTGAACTGTGGTCTTCCTCGATTAAGAGGAGCCAGGCTTCATATTGAAATTGTTACAAATGACAATTAAAAAAAATCCTGGTTATTCTATAATTAAATTAATAAAATAAAGAATACATCACATAATAAAATAAAGAATACATCATATAAAAAAAGAAGGTGCTGTATGGTTGCCAACAACTCTCCACGAGAGACCAAATAACATAGATGTTACATATAGGTCATCGTACGGCCTTCAACAATGAGCATAACCCATACTGCATAATCGGCTATAAAGGAATTCAAATGGCAAATGTAAAACAATTCAAACTAAAAAATAACGGCCTGACTTATGCTCAAAACAATTAACGAAAACCACATATGATATTCAGCAACAAACGACAACCACTGAATTACAGGTTCCTGACTTGGGACAGGCACATACAGAATGTTAAACATGTTTGGGGGCGCTCTACCCTCCCCTAACCTGGAAAAGTGGTAGAACAGCACACCATATGAACAAACTATAAAAATCAGATGTAAAGGGCTTAACTCGATATAAAGCATAAAAACAAGTAACAAAAACACAGTGGCAGGGTATTTATTCATCCCCACATAATTATGTATAAAATAACAAAATTATTTTGGTTTTAATTTACTGTTAACACGATCCATATTAATACCAATAAAATTAATATGCACTATTCAAAGATCTAATTACAGTGTTGAATTGGTAACCTTTTAGAATAAGTTTATTTAAAGGATCGATAGGTTTCCCCGGATCGTATCTTAATTTCAGGGCTATTCCTTACAATGAAATGGAAGTATGAAATAATTTCGTTCACGGCACGCTTGGTTTTGTTCGGTTGAAAGTTCCTCCATGATTCAATTTCCATCCACGGAGATCCACGAAAAATAGTCCTTACACTATATCAATTAATAATCCGAATTTTGAAAGGATAGCAAAATACTTCAATTTACATTGCAGTGATTTTTCGGATGTCGTTTATTAAGAAAGACATTAAGATGTAAGAAACGCAACTCTGATAACAAGATTTACATGTACTAACTTTTTAATGTGTCTTACTTGTAGCCTTTATGATGATTGCATTTTTCCTGGACAGGGCTCCGATTGGTAAGTTAGTATACACGAAAAGGGAATAAAGTCTTTACTAAAATTCAGAGTATCTAAACAAATTAAGACACTAGTCAGTTGAAGAGAAACAAACCTCTTCAAGCAAGTGTTATTGGATGAATCGTGGAAAACGTCTGTTAAAAGTTTTTATGTACATTTGTTTAATTTATTGAAGTCAGTTGTTGCCTTTATTCATTAGATATTATCATTATTAGATGTAATTGTTAGATGGTTTCGTAAATGTAGAGTTTTAGGCATCATAATCCAAAAAGAAGGGAAAAGAGCATACTCGTCAAATGTAGTGTTCAGCTGGCATTATTGTCGTTAATTACTAGACCGATAATTCATTTGTAATTAATTGATAAAATCTGTAAAAAAACATTTGACTGGTAACTTGAAGTTTTATTTCTTATATATCGTTTTTCTATTATTGTCATTTTTGTCGAGCCTGCGACTTTTGTCGAAAAAGCGAGACATAGCGATCCTACATTCCGTCGGCGGCGTCATCGTCGTTGTCGGCGGCGTCCACAAATATTCACTCTGTGGTTAAAGTTTTTGAAATTTTAATAACTTTCTTAAACTATCCTGCATTTCAACCAAACTTGGACAGAAGCTTGTGTATGATCATAAGATTATCCAGAAGTAAGTTTTGTAAAAAAAAATCCTGTTTATCCGTATTTTACTCATAAATGGACTTAGTTTTTCTGCCAGTTAGCATTATATTCACTCTGTGGTTAAAGTTTTTCAAATTTTAATAACTTTCTTAAACTATACAAGATTTGTACCAAACCTGGACAGAAGCTTGTTTATAATCATAAAATAGTATCCAGAAGAAAATTTTGTAAAAAAAAAAATCCTGTTTATCCGTATTTTACTCATATATGGACTTAGTTTTTCTGCCAGTTAAATTAACATTCACTCTGTGGTTAAAGTTTTTTAAATTTTAATAACTTTCTTAAACTATCCTGGATTTGTACCACACTTGGACAGAAGCTTGTTTGTGATCATAAGATAGTATTCAAAAGGAAATTTTGTTGAAAAAAAAATCCTGTTTATCCGTGTTTTACTCATATATGGACTTAGTATTTCTTCCAGTTAACATAACATTCACTCTGTGGTTAAAGCTTTCAAAATTTTGATAACTTTCTTAAACTATCCTGGATTTGTACCAAACTTGGACAGAAGCTTGTTTATGATCAAAAGCTAGTATCTAGAAGGAAATTTTGTAAAAATTTATTTCCCGTACACTAAAGTCTGCAGTTAAAGTTTTTAAAACATTTATTAAATTCATAAACCTTCTTGGATTTTTACCAAACTTGAACAGAACTTCTTACAATCAAAAGATAGTATCTAGAGGAAAACTTTTGATAATGTTTTCCCCATTTCTGAGCATGCGACTAACAGCAAAAGTAGGCGAGACACTGGGTTCCGCGGAACCCTTACGAATTTTTCGTTCCATAATTGTATGCATTTGAATGTTAGTGAGTATACATACGATTTACATGAATGTGTCAGATTAGTTAAGTTATTCACTCGTCTCCGACAGCATTAAGAACGTTGACACGTACAAGGAAACTTTATAAAACACTTCAATTTTTAAGCGTCTTAAAATTCTTTAATATCTGATAAAAAAAATGTCAATTTTCGTAATTTTAGATAATTTAAAAAAAAAATTGTAGTTACTATATATTTTTTTTAAACCAATAGCTTTTATAAGATAGAGCATGACCTTGCTATAGATTAACAGAAAATGTTACTTTGACATAACACTAAATAGTGTTTTAGTACATTGTCGTATTCTAGATCATGACGCTTCAATGCAGATGGTCATGAATAGTCTCATCAGAAAATTGCTTTTATTTTTCTTGAAACTGATGGACATTTATATGTAAAGACGTGTTTTGTTTTCATGTTATGACAATTAATACATCTATGTGTGTTGATTGCAGAGAAAACCCTTAACAGACATATCACTAACATCGATTCTGAATACTTAAACATACTTTTTGCCTGGTTACGAAAAGAGTAATGTATCACTCACTTTAAAAAAAAGGATGTATTTATTTGGAGATTCGCATTACCTTTCCAATTTCAGGCAGCGTAAATGGACATATACAAATGGAAGAAGTTATGCGAGAAAATTTAGAATTAAAGAATAGGCTTGATAATCCAATTCCACAAAACATCAAAGGTAAAGTATAAAATACGAAACATTATGGATTTTGCTTATCTTACATTGTGCGAGTTTGTTTTAATAATTAATATACTGTCATCACCTGGCATCCGTCGTCGTATTTTATCGTCCGTTGTCGAATAACCCTAGCAAAAAACCTTTGTGATGCGGCTACTCGAAGTAAAACATCCCTTAATTCACACAAAAGGTTCTCTTGAAATTTTGCACTTTTTAAAAATCTAATAACTCAGTAGTTTTTACATTTTTATGCTATGGTCCTTTACTCGTCCAATCAGTACAAAACAAATGGTAAAGCTCAGTCACTTGTCAAAAATTGTAGCATGTCCAATTTCACTGCACATAGCTTTTTGTCTACAAATTATATTTAGTACCTCACTTTGACATTTTTATCTATTACGTGTGTTTGTTTTGCTCACAAATGATGTCAATATAATGGAATTTTATGCGACTGTCATACAAGTTGGGGGTTTAGCTAGCTGAAGAATCAGGTTTAATGCACCATTTTGTACATTAGGAAATGCCTGTACGAAGTCGGAATATGGCAGTTGTTTTCCATTCGTTTGATGTGTTTGAGCTTTTGATTTTGCCATTTGATAAGGGACGTTCCATTTTAAATTTTACTTGGAGCTCTGTATTCTTGTTATTTTACTTAATGTGGCGCATTGGTGATATTGACCCATATTGAAAACCATAGTTCTGATTTTATCAAATATTCTCGTGTGGTCTTCTTCAGTATGACTTTCAGTATAAATATGTGTATTTTTGTCCATTTCTGTAAGAAAATAAGTTAGTTTTAAGCACTCATATGCATTGACTCTCATACCGCTAGGAGTCATCAATTCTGAATACAATGTGTAAGCATTGCATATTTCTGCCAGTATACCTTTACAAGTCGCCATATAAATAAAGAATATATGGGAATTTTCAATTGCAGACTCTATTAAAGCATTCGGTATAGTGATCTGTTGTCTTAAAGTGCATTTGAGCCAACAAAAAAATGTAAAATGATTGATGTTTTTGAAAATCTTAAAAGTACGAAATATTGGAATAGCACAATGAAGTATCCAATTTAAAAACTTGTACTTACACAAAAGTTTACTTAGAAATGACAGATTTTTAATACAGTAGGAATTGCAGTGTTAAAACTATATTTTACATATCAGTGAGAAATGCACAATCGGTTTTTAGTAAAAATTAGAACACATCACATGTATTAAAAGTTTAATTCAAAATGCCGTGTCGCAAAGATCAGTTACTGAGCCCTGTTGTAATATTATATCAATTCATTACCAACAGTTTTTTCCTACAGGCCTATGTTCACTTCATAACTGCTACATTAACTACATAATTACAATAAATGTACAGTTAAGATTTTGCTTCGTTTCGTTAAATGCTTATCATTTCATAAGTCGAAAATAAACTGACAACGTCATGGCAAAAAGGGGACGGGAAAGACCAAAAGAAAAACAACAGTATTTTCAAAACACAACACAAAAAAACTAAAGATTTAGCAACAGGAATCCCACCAGAAACCGGGGGTGATATTATGAGCTCCTAAAGGGTATGCCGATCCTGTTCCACATGTGGCACCGTCGTGTTGTTCATGTAAGTTCAAAACATGAAAGTATTACACCAATAAAAAGGAGAGATGCTTCCACCTTATGCCTTAAAAACATTTATTCGAACCTTCTTTGTGATGAGCAGTTAGTATTAGTTACATATAAAAAGTTGAAACACTATGTTTGTAAATGGTTTGCATACATTTCCCTTGCATTACCAGCTAATCCTGTAAATTGGAAATATTGATGTGTTCTGGTCTGTTTTGTCAGTTGCCATAGGCAAAAGGTCATCTATATTTGGTGTATGGAATAATTTTAATGTGTACATGTCTGTCTGGTGAGTATCATCTGACCTTGACCTCATTTTCATGGTTAATGATCAATGTTACATTTATGTGTTTTGGTCTGTTTTTTCAATTACCATAAGCAAAAGGTCAATTATATTTCGTTCATGGAATAATTGTAAGATAAACATGTCTATCTGACAGGATTTATCTGACCTTGTCCTCATTGTCATAGATCTTTAAAAGTGTTAGGTTTATGTGATACTTGTAGTTAAACTTCTAACTTCAGGACTTTCAACATAAAATCAATGGTCAGTAAAGCAGACGAGACATTTCAGCGTGTGCACTCTTTTTACATATGTGGTTTAATGTTCGAGGTGGGAAGTAATATTCATTTTCCGCAATTGTGCATACCCTTATAAGCCCTTTGTGATGGAGCTTCTCGAGTTAAAGCATCGATATTTCTACAGAGAACGTTCTCTGAAACTTCAGTACTTGGACATTTAATAACTCCATAGTTTTACCCCTGTATTACTTCTTTGACCCTCTGCTCTTCGAATGAGGACAAAGCATTAAGCTCAGTCACTAGTTGAAAATGTAGCATGTCCAAAATCACTGCAAAGAGATTTTTGGTTGACAGATTGTATTCGAGCACATCACTTTGAGGCACATTAGGGACATTGACCCATTTGAACTATACTTTGTATTAAAGTTACTTAGTTTATATAATTATTAGAAATATACCCGATATTTTGATTCGCCAACAAAAATGCCCGCTTTCGCTTACATAGAAGATAGGGGTAAAACGGAATAGTTTGCATACATATCAAACATTTTGAGCAGAAAGAGCAAGCTGGCATGGAGTATTGCAGTTTTTCCATCTCTCTTGATTATACTTTTCAATATAATAGCCAGACCTTCGATTAAAACGGATGCTTCAGGGGCAATAATAATGTTTGTCCGATCTACTGCTTCAGGCTGACTATCAATTACTGAGGTTCTATACATTTGTACTGGTGTCATTTTTTGCGCATAAAATGAACGTGTTCCGCAGAATCATTTGCAGTTTACCAGTTGATTAAAACTTTGGTCAGTTCAATGGTTATTTTTCTCCGTGTAGTTTATTCACTGGGACCTTTTGATGTATTCTAAGATAAATCCATTACTTTTTTTATTGTAAAAACTTTCAAAAGAAAGCATAATTCATAAAAGCTAAGATGTGTTTGGAAATAACTACTAAAATTGATATCGATATTGTGTTTTAGAACTGCAGAATTATGAAAAGAAGCAGTGGAAAGAACGTCTGCATCGATTTGTTGAAACTAAGGCATTCACAACGGTATTGGAAAGCATGACAAAAAGCCAGTGTATTCTGGTGTCAGGACCACAGGGATGTGGAAAGTCTTCACTTGCATTTTACATAGCATTAACTATGGAGGAAACCGAAGAATTTGAACTATTGATTGTTACAATTCCAGATGACATAGTCAGATATGCTTCTAAAGATAAGAAGCAGATATTTATCATTGACGATATATTTGGAAAGTATAATGTTCATGATTATGACTGTACGTGGTGGAGTAAGCAAGGTAATTTGGTTCGTACGCTAATGGATAGAAATAAGAATTCTAAAATACTAGCAACTTGTAGGTCTTATATATATAATTCAGTTGATATTGTCACTGTGAAAAATGCTTTTGTTCACCACAGCCTTATCGAAGAAGACATGGAGCTAACCGAAAGCGATCGGCGGACAATAGGTAAATCATATTTAAGTGACGCGACAATAGACCAATTAGGCAAAGACGTCATTATGAAGTATAGCTTTTTTCCTGCACTTTGCGCTGATTATTTATCCGATACAAAAGAAACTGTCGTAGAATATTTTTCAACGCCATATAATTATGTGGCTGCAGAGATTGAAAAGTGTAATAAGTCTAAAGATTTGAATTACTTTTCCTTAGCACTAGTGGTGATGTTGAACAATAATGTTAGGAAAGAAATGCTTATACAGGATACGAGTATTTATAATGAGCTAATTCAATCTTTGGCAAAGGAAATTGGTTATACACAAACGCCATCAAAACAGTCATTACGTGTTTGCCTTAGTACCTTAATAGGATCTTACGTAATCGAAACTGAATCTGAGTATTTCTTTATGAACGAAATGTTATTCTATATTATCGCACATGTCTTAAGTAAACATATCCTACGTACCTTACTCAAATATGGTAGGACATCGTTTCTAAAAGATAGAGTCAAATTTCTGTCTCTTGATGGACATTTTCCAAAACTGACAATTATGATTCCAGACACATTAGAATCAGCATACTTTGACCGAATCTTATGCAATATAAAAATGGGGTTATTTTGGGATGTTTTAACGGATACGCAGAATTATTTTGCTAAATTCAGAGAAGCTTTTATTTTGTACATGAGACCTAAGTTGAAATGTAGTGACTTAAAGGACTCGGATAATGGCTCGACAGTTTTACATGCTGTATCTTTGCATGGTTATGAGGACTACCTTAAATATTTCATTGAATTGGACAAATCATTGGTAAATAAAGGGAATTCCTCTGGTCAAATTCCTTTGCATTTGGCTTGTCTAAAAGGACATTCTCATACAGCACAATTATTGATTGAGAAACGAACTTTTATTGACAAAACAGATGATAATGAAAATACACCTTTAGATGTAGCATGTGCGCATGGCCATAAAGATACAGTAGATGTGCTTTTGTTTCATAAAGCTACAATAAAACAAAAACCAAAAGAGCTTAAAACAGCACTGCATGTAGTTTGTAGAAATGGAAATAGAATTATAGCGGAAATGTTGTTGAAAAGAAATGCAAAGGTTGATATAAGGGATAAAGCTGGACAGACTCCTTTACATTTAGCTACATTGAAAGGACATGGTGAAATCGTTGAATTGCTTATTCAACATAATTCTGATGTCAATCTTGCTGACTATAAAGGAAGAACTGCGATATATTTAGCTTGTGAGAAGAAACATACAAAGATTGTAGAGTTGCTGTTGAAATGTAATGCTAACACATTGATAGACAATGCAGACGGAAAGCGTCCAATACATTGCTGCTGTGAAGTAGGATGTAGTGATATTACTCAGCTGTTACTTTCTCATCATGTTGATATAAATCTACGTGATTCTGGGGACTCTACTCCGCTTCACTGGGCTTGCAAAAAGAATCATGAGCGTATTGTTAAAATGTTATTGGAGAAAAATGCAGACGTTTCTCTCTTTACTAAATATGGAAATACACCACTTCATATTGCTTGTATTAATGGTCATATTAATATCATCAAGATGTTGTTAGACTACAAGGCAAATGTTAACTGCACAGACATATATGATAAGACACCACTACATCTGACATGTGAACACGGTCTACAGGACGCAGTTTCCCTCCTTCTGGTACACCGAGCAGATGATAGTGCCAAAGACAAAGAATCAAAAACTCCTCTCCATCTCGCATGCTTCGATGGGAATGAAAATATTGTTGAAGAATTATGTAAGCATGGTGTTTCAGTTGATGCAACAGAAAAATATGGTAGGACACCTCTCCATATTTGTTGTGAACAAGGTCATTCTAGCTTGATAAAAATACTTAAACGATATGGAACAGACATAAATAAAAAGGAGAAAGAGGGTTTAACTCCTCTGTATATTGCTTGTCGCGAGGACAATGTAGATACCATTAAACTGCTATTGACACTCGGTGCACATATAAATGAAACGGATAAAGATGGATGGACACCACTGTATTTAGCATGCAAAGAGAGTAACATAGAAATGGCTAAAATTTTAATACCAAAAGGTGCAAACATAAATCAAGCTGATAAAGATGGTATAACACCTCTTCATTTGACTGCTCAGGCTGGAAATGCTAGTCTTACGAAATTGCTGCTTGAAAGTAAGGCTTCTGTAAATATGGTGGAGAACTTAGGTCAGACACCTATTTTCAAGTCTTTATCAGCTGTTCAAAAAGATGTTACTGAACTCTTGCTTCAAAATGGTGCATCTGTAAATGTGAGTGACAAGTTTGGGATGACTCCTATTAGAATTGCTTTACAGAAAAGAGACAGCGATGTGATAAACTTGTTAAAACATTACAATGAATAGTAAATATGAAGATAATATAGTAAGATTCAATGTCGATTTTTTTTATACTTATGGTTCATACTCAAAATTTCGTTCATGTTGACTTATTTACAGATATTATATAGATGTGATTGTTTTTGTCGAGCCTGCGACTTTTGTCGCAGAAAGCTCGACATAGGGATAGTGATCCGGCGGCGGCGGCGGCGGCGGCGGCGGCGTTAGCTAACTTCTTAAAAGCTTTATATTTTAGAAGCTAGAAGACCTGGATGCTTCATACTTTGTATATGGATGCCTCATGTTACGAAGTTTCCGTCAGTCACATGTTCAAAGTCCTTGACCTCATTTTCATGGTTCAGTGGTTATAGTTAAGTTTTTGTGTTTTGGTCTGTTTTTCTTATACTGTATGCACTAGGTCTACTATATTTGGTGTATGGAATGATTGTAAGGTGTACATGTCTAGCTGGCAGGTGTCATCTGACCTTGACCTCATTTTCATGGTTCAGTGGTCAAAGTTAAGTTTTTGAGTTTTGGTTTTTTTTTTCTAATACTATATGCAATAGTTCAACTTTATTTGGGGTATGGAATGATTGTAAGGTGTACATGTCTAGCTGGCAGGTGTCATCTGACCTTGACCTCATTTTCATGGTTCAGTGGTCAAAGTTAAGTTTTTGAGTTATGGTTTTTTTTTCTAATACTATATGCAATAGTTCAACTTTATTTGGTGTATGGAAATATTTTATGATCTATATGTCAGTCACGCAGGTTTTATTTGACCTTGACCTCATTTTCAAGGTTCATTGCTCAGTGTTAATTTTTTGTGTTTTGGTCTGTTTTTCTTAAACTATAAGCAATAGGTCAACTATATTTGTTGTATGGAAGAATTGTTAGCTTTACATGCCTGCCTAGCATGGTTCATCTGACCTTGACCTCATTTTCATGGTTCATTGGTCAATGTTTAGTTTACTTGGTTAATGTTAAGTTTATGTGACAGTTGTAATAAAGCTTTATATTTAGGACTATCAACATAATATCAATGATTAATAAAGAAGGCGAGACATTTCAGCGTGTCCGATCTTGATACTGAATTTCAAATGAAATATTTAGAAAAGAAATGTATGATTTTGTTGGGCAGTCAAGCTGCCCTATGTTAGCACACCAAATTTGCTTTTGTTCCTCCGGAATACTGAAATAGGTGCCATTGCCTTTATCTAGAGTGCTAGTAGGTTATTTATAACTTATTGGACATTTTTTTTCTTTTAATTCTGGAAAACAAATTCATTTGTCGGTAATTACCTTAATTGATCGTCGAAGAACGTCGGGTCCGACAAGGTGGAAAGTATGTCAGACACTTTGCCCAACAGACTTCAAACGATTTCATTTGCTCTGCAAATGGTCACAGTTCAACGTTTTTGTCTCCGGTTGCAACGAAAGTCTCAGAATGCGAGACATAGGGATTACAATCCGTTGGCGGCGTGAACTATTTGTATTTAGCTTTATATTTCAGAGGGTAGTCAACCTCGAGGCTTCATACCTTGGAAAGAGATGCCTTAATATAATATGAAGTTTTCTTATGTCATATGTCCGTCCGTTGTCCTTGACGTCATTTTCATGATTCGGCGACTATTTGATTTTTTTAGTGTTTTTGTTATATGAATTTCTCAATTATTATGAGTAATAGGATAACTATATTTGGTATGTGTTCTTTGTAAGGTCTACATGTTCGTCAGACAGGACGCATCTGACCTCGTCCTTATTTCATGGATCATTTATCAAGGTTAAAGTTACATGATTAGATCGGTTTCTCAGATACTGTATGCGTTATGCCAAATATGTTTGGTGTATGGAATGACTGTAAAGTGTACATGTCAGTCTGCCAGGTTTCAAATGACCTTGGTCTCATTTTCACGGTTCATTGCTCAATGATAAGTTCTTGTTTTTTCTGTGTCTATTTTTATAATACTATAAGCAATTAGTCATCTTTTTTTGTGTGTGTATGGAATGATTGTAAGGTGTACAAATCTGTCTAGTATCATCTGTCCTTGACCTCATTTTTATGGTTCATTAGTCAATGTTAAGTTTCAGTAGTCAGCACCTTTTTAAGATACTATACGCAATTGGTCAACTATATTTGGTGTATGAAATGGTTGTAAGGTATACATGTTTGTCTGGCAGGGTCCATCTCACCTCATTTTCATGGTTCATTGGTCAATATGAAGTTTCATGGTTTTTTTTATTTTTTTGTATACTTCCAGTAATTTGTCAACTATATTTGAAGTACAAATGTATGTTATGATTGTAAGATATACATGTCTGTCGGGTTTGGTTAATCTGACAACATTTTCACGGATTATTGATAATGTCAAGTTTATGTGATAATTGTAGTAAAACTTCATCTTTATGATTGATTATCAACATAAAATAAATCTTGAATGAAAAGCAGGCGAGACAATTAAAGCAAGGTTCATAATCATGAACAAAACAACGTTCATATCCATATTAGCATTCTTTATAATATTTTGTGAGAAAAAAAATATCGTAAGATTGAACCTTCCCATTAAACTCACTTAACCAACTTTTCATGAATTCCCTTGATAGATGCATTTGCTTTTTTTTCAATTAATTCAGTGGATACGTACATACGTATATATACATCTTTTCAGACAATGCATCTTTAAAAAAGTATACATATTTTAAAGTAATAAAAAATCTGCTAATCACCTCTGAAAAACAAATGGTATACTGATCATGATTTAGGAAAGTGGAGTACAGAAAAATGTTGATACTTGAGATACACTGAACTGCAGTCAAGTTTAGCGTTTGATAATTCATTGTTAACATTTTGGCGTATCACAAACAAACAACTTGTAACGTCTCATTTCATTGGCAGAAAGATTTAAATACAACAAAATTTGTAGTGTGCACGTGAATTGACACAGGTGACCAACAATGGAATGTACTATGTTACTACGAACGTAAAAAAATAGATACATGTTTTTGTAATGCTGTGTCATTGCCTGATTTTCAAATACAAGGGTCGAAATATTATACTATCAAATAGATATTATGATGGGTTGCACTTTTTTAAACTGATTGTTTTTCATTACCAAACAGCGAGTTAATTGACAAAATATTTGGTCTATGCTGAGACTACTATAATACAAATGAAAGGCAAAGAAAGAGATACAGTATGATTGTTAAGACACAACTATCCATAGACCAAAAAACTAGATGTCGCACGGATTTCAACAATTACATTGTAGCAAAGTCCTTATCGTAGTTTGTTTGGCAGTATATTAGTTTTCATCCTATCTTGGGCAAGGTTATTTTTTCAATTTTTACCAGGCAAAACCAGGCAAAACAAAATCGTTTATAATGCCCCTTAGGCCTATTGAATTTTGAATGGTCGGCCCCGTAGTATACAAATAAGGAGATGAAATATGATTGTCAATGTGCCATCTATCCATCGACTAAAAACAAATATGTGAACAAATCCATGTCACACATTTCTTCAACAATTAGCAAAACCCAGGAATTGGTGTACAGTTTGTTGAGCGAAAATTACTATCAGGGCCTATCTTGGACAATATTGTGAATTTTATTCAATTCTTAACCTGGGCATAATATTCATTTTCAATGTCCTTCATACTCCTCTCCCTCCCACACTCTTGGAATTTGGAATGGTCATGATTGTCAATGAGAAAACTATCCATAGACAAAACAAGATGTGAACAAATGCAGATAGCACGGTTTTCAACAGTTAGCAAAACCCTTAGCATAATATGCCACGGTGTGATAACGTGCGAAACAGTTGAAAAAAAACAGCAATGACCAGATATAGTGTTCTGTCCATACAGAACAAAGCAATACACACAAATAATACATTTATGCATCAAACAAGGACCAAACAATTACTTCGCAAGTGACACTAGCTATAATTGCCATGATAATTAGCATTCGCCACATATTTACAGCAATAAACAATTGATAAATGCGCTTGGTATTTGGTACATATATGTACATAGTTTTATATGTCCTGAGTATTTTACACAATATTTTTTTTTTAGTTTGGTTTTGTATTTTTTCTCCAAGGTTTCATATCTGTTTTGGGTATGACATTGAAGTTTAGCATTTAGCATACCTGATGAAATTCAACACAAAAACCCGAAGTGTAATGTACTAGACCGACACACATAGCGCACAACTTGGTTCAAAGTCACCTTAGCTGGACACATCTTTCCAACAGTCTAAAGACGACCATCTTAGTTCTCTAAATTCTGAAACGGAGATGTTCCATAGAGGACTAGGTCTATTACCGTTTCAAACTGAATTTATACTGTATTCATAATTTGTTGTTTAATTGTGTATTTTTGTTATCTATTCTTCTCGTTGTTTTGAAGTTGAGTGTATTTCTGTTTGTTTTGCTAATATGCAGGTTGAGATTAAATACCAGGATTGAAATTTTGAAAAAGTCCATATATCCCGGTCTCATTTCATTTCCGTATGCCTGTCCCAAGTCCGATACCTCGTCATTTGTCCATGGTTTTGTCAGTTTATAAGAACTTCCCCTTTTTGAATGTACCTTGGAGTTTTTTCGTTTATACTTTTTTTTTTATTTTTGTCGTTGATTATGGTATCATTGACGTTTACCCATCATCTCCTTTTTTAAACAATTAAACAGAAATAACACGGATCCAGTTGGGGGGGGGGGGGGGGGTCCAGGGGTTGGAACCCCCCTTTTTTGGACGATCAATGCTTTTGAATGGGAACACATGGTTGGAACTCCCCTTTATCCTTTATCCCCCCCCCCTCCCCCGACTTTAAAAAACGGCCGGATCCGCCCCTGCATGTGCACGGGATCTAATTCACTTTATTTCGCCCTGACGCAGTAAAAAGAAAATTAAGAACCTTTACATATCAAACGTAAAACGAAAGACTTGAATAATATTTATACAATTAACACATCATAACTAGAACTGTCAGGGAAAAAACAACCACATGTGTAAACAAGTACACAATCTACCCATTTATGATTGATTCACAACAACTAGTGCTAAGTTTTTCGTGTGAGTTGTTAGCATGT